ACTTTATTAAAATTTACTAAAAAGCTAATGTAGTATTTGTTAGAATATCGGAAAAAAATTCTATTGGTATAGGAAAAGCGTATGTTCTTTACAATCAAAATGAACTACAATGCGATTAGAAAATTCTTTTGTTATCTACACTTTTTCAGAATGTTTTTCCAAATCTGGGCTCAAAACGATGCAAACTATGTTTTCGATAATAAATTTGTTATAAATACCACAAATACGGAATATATGAAAATATGAATTGAAAGGTCTTTGGTTGAAATGCGGATACCTGCTGGCACTGGCTATTCAGTACAATTTTATTGAAAACATGGTTTCATCAAGTACTCGCTGTACAAAAAGTACTTAAAAAATATAAATCTAAAGTTATTGAGCCATATGAAATCATAATAGAATAGTTAACCTCTCTGGAAACTAAAACTGATATGTGTTTGAGTATACTAGTAATACAACAAATCCCTTGCAGATTTCGTAATACAATGTAATCATATTCAGTATAGTAATATTGAAGAAGATAGTTTTGAAAGCATTTCATTTTTGCTATGTGACAAATGGAATGCATTACAATTTAAATGTTTTCAGAAGCAACATGCCCACCGAAATTGTGTTACACTTCAAAAGATATAAATAAATCGCCAAGCTCATGTTATTCGTTCTTATACGATGAATCATTCTTATTACAAGTATTGTTTAGTACAAACTGATAGCGGTATTGATGACTATGGACCTTTAGTGCTTTTAAATCTGAACTAAGGGTTCAATGTAAGAGATCGAGGACTCGAAACTTTCTTCCAAAGAGTGTTTGAATATTTAAAACAACTCATATCACCCGATTTAGGTAAAAGAAGTATTGCAAGATAGAGGAAAGAAGGCGTTAAAAAAATATAAGATATCGCACTGTGAACAAACTAAATGTATAAGAAAAACTCATCTACATTGACTTATTCATACCAAAAGAAACGCAAAGCTAAGAGTAAGCGGAGAAAAATTCAAACACAAAATATATTTGATTAAAACATAAAATGAACGAATGTAGAAAATCAAAATTAGATTTATTTACAAACCCACCAATAAAAGCAAGTATTTTAAAATCTGAAAATTGGTTTCATACAATCCTATTACTTTTTTAGACAGTCCCTCAACCGTTTAATTGGGCCATGGCGATAAAATTCGTTTAATTGGGCCATACAGAGGTTTATTTTCATTATCATCAAATTTTAAAAAAGATCGAACATCGTGGCATAATGTAACAGTGCAGATGGAAAAACTTTTCAACAATTCAGTGAAACTAACCGTGACTTCAATAATGCTTAAAAGAAGATTTAAGTACGGTATTAATACGGTTGTAGTACTGCTTCAGTGCTTTCAATACCTTTACATTGTAAAAACCACTACTAAAGCTTTTTGTATATTTTGGAATACAATTTTTACCATATCAATACAACTTTGAAATTTATTTGAAAATTTCAATTTAAAGTTCTGTTAATGTCTTTATGTCTAACAAGTCCCAATGCTCAGAGAGAAACTTGAAAGCACACCTTATTTTATATGGCCTTTTTTAAATCGAAGTGGCTATTTTTTGAGAAGAAATATTAAAATAAATTCACACTTATTATAAAGCAGGTAAAATTTAGAACATATATTTGAAAAATCAAAAAAATATATTAATATTTTAAAATTTAAAAAAAAAGCGGAAAAACAACAAACACAACCTTCGCCTTCAACGTTTTATTTGTTACTGAAAGCATTTCATTATTTTTAAGTGAACAGCTTTTTTTTCTCATAGGGTAAGTTAACGCAAGATATGGGAAGTGCCTGTGGTGTCAAGTTGAAAATATAATTATTGAAAGATAATTATTGAATATTGATATAAATACATAGTAAAGAAAAAATTTGAAGTGGGAATTAGAAAATAATATCTAAAATACAATCAAATACTATTTGTTAAATACAAATTTTATATAAACTTCAAAATTTTACCTCTATTTTTATTTGAAAAAATATTAAAAACTTACTATCATTTATATCAATTACCTAAGAAAAAAAAATATTTAAAATGTTTGGAAAAAACAATCATATATTTTTATGACCGGATTTGAATATTTTTCTATTTTTGAAATAAATGGTATTTTACCAAATGACTCGAAAATTCCGACTGTAAAATAACAGGTATTTTAAAATTTTTGTTCAGGTATTTTAAAATTCTTTCCGTTTAGAATTAAGATAGGTCATACATACACATGCAGGGACATTTTATAAATAGATTGCTCTTATTTACCTGCTAATAAAATATGAAAAAAGAGCACAGCAAAATTTTTGAAGCACTCAATATAACATGTTTGAAATATTTTTAAAATAATTATTTAAAAAAAATTTATTGGAAGTAGGTACATATTTATTTTTAATAACTAACTGAAATTATTTGAAACAATTTTATAAGTAACGTATGAATAATCGAAATGAGATAATTCAAATTGTTGAAATGTGTCAACCTATATTACTTTTAATAACATTTTTGTTAGCCGACACTACTCAACTTACCTTATTGGGAAATACAAAATGTGCATAAAAGATCATACATCCTTCCTCATTAACATTTGAAACCATACTGAAATATGAATTTGAATTTTTTTTTCATTTTTTCTTTTCTCCTACCTTTCTTTCTTTTTCGTGCAATAGAATTTAAATGGGAAGCTTTTTAGCAAATGTGTATAATATCCTGAGATGTTTTAAAATATTAATCTCTTTTTTACGTAAAAAAAAAGAAAAAAATAATAAAAAATATGACACGATCAGTGGCATTTAAAGAAAAAACCAACAACGAGGCCAAAAATTCGTAACATTTCGTAAAAAAAATTGAGTATTGGGACTTGTTAGATATAAAGACATTAGTTCTGTGCAAATGTTCATTTTTATAAAACGTTACCACATCATTAAGAACTTAGCATTTTTATGCTGCATTTTAGAAAAAAAACGTGATAAGTAGAATTTTATTGCTGAAAATATATGCTAGTTTATTTTATCGGTTGTTTCTGGCAAGAGTATAAGAAAAGCGTGCTCGATTTTTTAGATGCCCGATTTAATTTTATTTTACGTCTCCACTATGTATAAAACGCATTTAGGAAAAGTGCACAATGTCAAGAACTTTTACTAAACTTTTTGGAATTTGATACTTTGTAAAATTTACGTCGTCAGCGCATTATTAAAGTCACTGTAATAATCTATCACATTCCTAATCAAGCACTGTAATGTACAATTCAATGGTAAAAATATCACACCATCAGATGGAAATTACCATTATAGAGCTTATATTGAATCTCTGTTAAATTAATGCACTGATGCTGCAACAACCCATTTAGAATGTGCTGCGTGGATTTTAGATAAGCGGAATGTAGATGGATCTGACAATAATGGTTCAAAGGAACCTCAAAAGCTACATCATAATAGTAAAGTTGTTGAACTCGTGTTGATATGTTTAATCAGCCTACGATTTTAATAACCATTGCCGATATTCGAATTCTAGAAATGTCTAGAAAAACCAGATTTGTTATTACTTGCGATTGACTCTGATGGATTTCAACTAAAAGTTGTGGAAGTCAATTTATGTATGAAGCACGTAACCATAAACCCTAGCCTATTATTAACCCATAATGCAGTTTTGGAAAAAGCAAATGTTAAATATCATTATCAGAGAGTGCAAGTCAAGATTTCACAATTCCATACAACAGTTCGTCTATTTCGCTAGAAAATGTTTTTATTGGTCAACTATCACAATTATTTTTTGCATGATTGAAAATGCAGGATATTGGAGAAAGCGAACAAAAAATTCATACAATTTTAAGCATTTCGATATGTCATAATTCATGCTTTATGTTAATGGTATGCAAATGCCAATTGCAGCAATAGAAACACGATTTTCTGACGATCATGATTGCAGCACAAGAGCATATCATATTTTATTCTCTGGAACAGAAATTTATCAGGTCATCAAATGACGAAGCCTGTGTTTAGAAAGGGTTTGTTTTTATTGACTTTTGATTTAACCCCAGATTCAGACTTTTGATTACCCCAGGTAATAATGTCAAAGAACTGTACGAATTGATGCGAGATTATCAAAACCAACTTCATCTACACTAACAGCTCTAGTTTATGCAGAATTTAAGGCGAGCGTACAAATAGATAAAAATCGAATTGTCTATTGAAATCTATAAATAGCTTTACGTATTATGTAACAATCAAATATTACTCTTTACATAGAAAACATGTTCAAACAAGTTTTATTGCTTTAACACTAATTAAAATGTTATGCTAGCAGACATAAAAGAAAATTGTAAAATAGCTACCATAGAAATACAATACAAATTTCCTACAAAAGATGTAATGCTTAGTGCTGCTGATAGCAATAAATTCGGAAACATACATAACCATCAAGTAGTTATGCAGCTCACCACATTATTGAGCAATTTTAATATTGAGCCTTATTCTAGTTGTCGAAGTAGAACGATAATTGTTGTCACGACTTGAATTTGATATTCTAAGTGGCGATTGCAGTGACACTTGCTGGGGAATAGCGGGAAAATGTGTTTCAGCTTTATTCCAGTTGTCGTCCTGATGCGACATATCACGTAGTGAAACGCCGTTTCTTGCCGAAAAGTATTTAACAACTGACAAGCAAGATGGATACACAAAAAACGTAAGTTTAAACAAAACAATTTAATAAAATTATAAAAAATCATAAATTTTGTAATTTAGTACATAAATTAAACCGTATAATATATAATTTAATTTTTACTTTTAGCGTAAAAGTAACAACAAAGAAACAATTTGAAGAATTGGGAAATTTTATGACGGAGAACGCCTAAATGCGAGTTTGAAGCAAAGTGGAATCAGCTATCAGAAAAGCTTTATAGCTTTGTTTTTATATGATTTGGATTTATGTAATAATCCTAAAATGTGTAATATTAATATAATACCGAAATAAAAAAACATTTTTCGTAATTAAATTTTATTTGTTTTTAATGAATACATCAAGATATTTATTATACTATTACATCTAAATATACAAATACAAATACATCAAGTTATGCAATTACACTATAGTCAAGTTATACAATACATTATACAAAAACATGAAGATATACCGCAAATTCTTTAACGTCAAAATTTTGTTTTCAGTCTGCAAACTGTCTGATGTATAAAACTTTTACGGACAGAAATGTATTAAACTTTTTACCCGTAATTGACTTTGAATTTTGATCATCCGTAAACGTCAAAACAAAAAAAAAATTTTTTTAGATTTAAAATAATTTTATACTTACATATTAAAAATTAACAAAAAAATTATTTTTTATATTATTTTTAACGTAATGATAGTCACTCAATACATCAAATTTATTTACTGAATTACTACGTCAGACTGTCTGCACGTTAATTGACTTTGAGCCTTATTCTAGTTGTCGCGTCACTTACGTGACATTTGTCGTTGTCGTTGTCACATCATTTGAAATGTGGTATTCTAGGTGTCGAGTGGCGTGACTGCGAGAAATAAACGAAAATGAAACATTTCAAGTGAAATTGATACATTTTAAAAAGAAATTTTGGCGAGTAAAGTTCAAACTAAAAAAAAAATTCGGTGTATATATTTATTTTTATAAATACGAGGGAAATAAAAAATGTCGTCATTTGCACTATGGTTTACGGATTCATCAGACTCCGAGAGTGATGAAACTGAAAAAAAACAACAATTAAGGATCAAAAGATTTAAGATTAGGAATAGCTCTAGTCCATTGGATTTGCCAAATGGAGTGTAAGATAATAATTTTTTCAAATACATTTGTTACAAACATTTTATTTTATTTACAGATTTATAAGCTATTACAGACTTTCAAAGGAGGCCTTTCTATATTTACTAAATACATTCGAGGGAAAAACAAGTACCCCTAAAAGGTGTTTTGGAGTCTCACCTATAATTAAATTAGGAGCTGTTTTACGCTTCCTATCTGAGGGCAGCTATCAAAAAGGTGTTGCTAACGATTTATATACAGGTTTAGCACAGCCTACGTTCTCTAAAATATTAAAAGAAGTTTTAACAACTTTAGAAGCTGAAATTTGCAGCAGTTTGATAAAGTTTCCAGAAGAGCATGAAAGAAATGAGATTAAATTAGCATTCTATGAAAAATTTGGGTTTCCTGGAGTGATCGGCTGAGTAGACGGAACACACGTTAGAATTATAACTCCGTCAAAATATCATCAGCATTTATATTATAACCGGAAAGGTTATCATAGCTTAAACGTTATGTTGGTATGTATAATATTGCTTGTTAAATATTTGTAAATATTTTAATATAATGTGACTTAAAGGTTTGCGATCCGGGATCATCTCATGATTCCCTTATTTAAATAAACCACCGCCAGTTGAATTTAACTCCTTTTTGTTGTGCGCTAATTTTTTTTTTAACTTCAATTTGTAGTCACACCAAACCTGAAATTTCCATAAATTAATTAAATTTTAAATGAAACTTAAGTTAAAATTACCTTCTGCCATCCTGCAGTACTTCTAATGGGCCGACCCAAGCTATTAAGCTTTTCTGTTAGCTGGTTCCATTTTGCATCAAACTCGCATTTGCTTATGCAGCTATTTTCAGCAAATTTAAGGCCTTTCGCAATAAAGGCGTTCTCCGTCATAAAATTTCCCAATTCTTCAAATTGCTTCCTTGTTGTTACTTTAACTCTAAAAATAAAAATTAAATTATATATTATATGGTTTAATTTATGTATTAAATTACAAAATTTATTATTTTTTATATTTTTATTATATTTTTATTAAATTGTTTTGTTTAAGCTATGTTTTTAAAGATGGTTACTACAATTTTTATAAAAATGAACATTTGCACAGAATTTTAAATTGAAATTTTCAAATAAATGTCAAAGTTGTATTGATATGGTAAAAATTATATTCCAAAATATACGAAAAGCTTTAGTAGTTTTTTTTACAATGTAAAGGTATTGAAAGCTTGAGACGGTACTACAACCGTATTAATCCCGTACATAAATCTTTTTTAAAGCATTATTGAAGTCACCGGTTTTTTATGATTGTCGGATTTTAAATGAATTTCATAGAACGATTCATGGTACTATGTCCTTATCCAAATTAATAGTCTGATTTCGCAAATATTTTTCCAGAAACGTTTTCTTTTGAACTCCTTTGATATAAATTTTGTGTGAAATATCAATATAATTATTATAGTGATATTCCACAATCCAATTAAAACCGTTTATAGGCCTTAGGTTGTACTCGTTTTGCTTCCTTGCTTCAGAATCAAGTTCTTCTTTAAAATACGGAGGTTTAAAGTAGTATAAATTAGCGATAATTGAGTGGTTGGAGTAGAGCGAACTTTAGTCAACTGCTTTAGTGTTGATTATTGTTTCCGACAATAAATTGCAGATCAACTATTAACACATTTTGCGCCATATTTCTAGTGTTCATGTAAAAATAAAAATTAAAATCTATTATCATAAACTTACTAATTTATACGAGTATACAAATTTTTTATACATATGTACGTATATTTTTAATCGTTTAAAAGGCAATATGGAATTGCTTGATAATTATCATGGCAAGCACGTTTAGAAAAATATATAAATTCAAATTTGTTTTTTTTTTCGATGTTACTTCAAAAAATTCCGACGTATAATTTTATTTGAAATTGTGAAATAAAAATCCCCAGAAGGATTTGTAACTATTTCCTTAAAATGCTCAAAATTTAGTGTTGTGATACTTTTATTACTTGTTATTCCTTTACATTTTAGAGTCTCACCATATTTCTTTGTGTCAGGATTATAATACTAGTAAATCTTTTAGAACCAGTCGATACAAGTTCTGTACCATAAATACTTTTTCCGTAAAATTCGTTTGTTAAACCTTGCCAAAAATTTCCTACAATAATAAACAAAACTTCTTTTTTAAGTGTTTAAAAAACATTAAAATAATAAACATTACATGTTCCCAAATTACATTCGCGATTCTTAGTATTTTGTACAAATATCATAGAATCCGTATGGCAATAAAGAGCATTTTTTCCAATTTTACTCATTTCGTAATGCAACAAAAATCTAGCATGTGCTGTGGTAAACGCTCCAATTATCAGAGATTGATTTTTAAGTACTGGATTCAGTTCTGGAAAATATTTCCAACTAATCCAAATTTGATGTTCACTTGCTACAAATATATGTGATATTGGTAATTCGCTTGAGTGTGTCAATTTCTAAAACTCTGAACGTGTTTCTACAATATTTGTTAAATGACGGGAGCTTCTTTGTATTAACTTTCCACAAAAAGACATTAACTTCAATTTTGCTAAATCGGTTAGTAAGAATTTGAAGTAATTTAAAGTGTATCTAACATTTATCACTGATTAGTTTTAATTTAATTTAAATTTAAATTTTTACTAAATTATATATTGTTTTTTTACACAATATATTAAATAATAAATTAATGAGCCTTATTCTAGTTGTCGCGTCACTTACGTGACATTTGTCGTTGTCGCTGTCACATCATTTGAAATGTGGTATTCTGGTTGTCGAGTGAAGTGAGTGCGAGATATAATCGAAAATAAAACCTTTCAAGTGAAATTGATACATTTTAAAAAGAAATTTCGGCGATTAAAGCTCAAACTAAAAAAATTTTCAGTGTATATATTTATATTTTTAAATAATAAAAAATGTCATTTGTATTATGGTTTACGAATTCATCTCATTCCGGTAGTGATGAAATTAAAAAAAAACAACAATTAAGGATCGAAAGATTTAAGATTAGCGACAGCTCTAATCCAAAGGATTTGCCAAATTTTTTCTAGTAAATTAGTTGCAAACATTTTATTTTATTCACAGATTTATAAACTATTACAGACTTCTAAAGGAGGGTTTTATATATTTACTGAATATATTCGAGGGAAAAACGAGTACCTTTAAAAGGCGTTCTCTGTCATGAAATTTCCAATTCTTCAAATTTATAAATACTTTCACAAAAAAAACGAAAATTAAATTATATATTTTATGACTTGATTCCACTTTCTTGTCACTTGTACTTTTCAACAAAAAACGTCGTTTCACTACGACATATCTCGCATCAAGTCGTAACGACAATTGTCGCTCTACTTCAACAACTAGAATAAAGCTCAATGTTAAAATAAAGTTGTGTCTTCCATTTCAGCTCAGCTGGTACTGGGATGAAAATAAGCGACGATTTTTTTGTCGACAGCCGTTTTATATGTTGTTCATTGTTGTCATAAAATGTGTGAGTGCATGTGATATGTTCAGTGTTGGGAAGTTATGTTCAGTTGTTGCTGTTATGTTCAGTGTTGAGAAGTATGTTAATATTATGATTTGAATAATCTTAAATTTCTATTTGATGTCAGGTTTTTTACTTTTTATAAATGTGCCACCAGCTACTGCTTTGTTGTTGTAGCTAAGGACTTTGTAGAACATTCTATTTTCCAAAGGTGTAGAACGCTTTTGAGTACAGCTTTTAGGGACGTTAATCTGGTTCGCGTTTCTTGTTCATCTATTTGTAATGTTTCTCCTTCTTATATACGTGGTATTGTGTTTTGATGTCTCGATTATAACTTTTCGTTCACAAATAGTAGCTTCTCTGGTAAAATTGTCAACTCTAGTGTATCAATTTCTGCTTGACTGCAAAGATCTGCAGTGTGGTAACGTAATTCGAAACCGTAGAGAACTAAATAATTAACTTAAATAAAGTGCTTTATTTAATGTTTATCGCATCTCTTTAGTAAGGTGTTCAAACCAGAAGACCAATTGATTAAGTTATTATGTGACTCATGATGTGCGCATGAAACAGCAGTGTCATCATCTAACTTCAGCCCAGATCTTCCAATTATTTAGAACATTGATGATTTAATAAAGTTTTTATATAGCTAAATACTCATTTATAGTTAATTTGGAATTCTCGGCCCATTTCAGAAATTTGTGCAGATTATTGTTTACGCCACGCACCGCTTCCTGTTTATTGACACCACTATACCAAAGACAACTGTTATCAGCAAAGAAACTATATTTAGCTATTAGGTTCGCTCGCATAATGTTTTGTATGTATAAAATATACAGAGTTGATCCCAAATTTGATCCTTAGGGTACACATTGTATAACACCAGTTTGACTACTGACACATAGAAACCTTGTGGTAATTTCTTTTTTACTGAGGTTACATCTAATTAGGTCGTTAGAGCAGCCGAGGATGCCAATGTCGAATAATATTTCAAGCCGTATTCTGTGGTCGACAGTATCCAACGCCACAATTTTTTAGGTCCACAAATACCGATGCAACGTACTTCTTTTGATCCAGTGAGTCATTTATGTATTTCAGGAATTCGGAAAAGGTTGATTGCGTATTGCTGTGTCTCTGGAACCCAAATTGATGTTTATAAAAACCTCATGTGATTCAAGATAGAAATTGGTCTTTTTAGCATTTTTCCAAAAAAATTTTGAAAAAAGTGCTTATTAGTTATACTCTGTCCGTCCGTCTGTCCGTGTGTCTGTTTACAAAACTTCTATACCCTTGAAGATAGAAAGCTGAAATTTTGTATGTACATAGATCTTTACTAGAAACTTATTTCCGTAGAAAAAATTTTTACCTATCTCCCCTCCTCTAGAAGTTATACCCTCCCAAAACCCTAAAAATGGCCTTTTTTAACTATTTGTTGCAATGAAAGCATTTTTGAAATTTTGCAAACGCATAAAAGCAGCGGCTTGCTTCCCCTAGCGCGGTATACTATAGTTAAACTTTAGAAAAACAAAATGGCCGTTCAAATTTACCGTTATTTAAAGTCTTTTTTTCCCAAATTTTTCATTTCGTTTTTCTCTAGACCCCAGCCTGTAGAAGCTTGAAATTTTAGGGTCTTTTAGACATCAACAAATCGTCTTTATATTAATTTTTGCTTTATTTCAAAGACTGCATGAATGCATCATCCTAAATATATGCAATCCTAGAAATAGTTACATATGAATGAAAATAATTTTAATAATGTGATAGGTATACATAGACTGTATTTAAAAGCAGAAATTTCACTTGTTGAAGGGAAATGTGCTACAATACAAGCCATTGGTTTGAACCAATTTTATACAATACTCTACTTAATAGAGAAAAAAAAGTTGTTCACTTAAAAATAATGAAATGCTTTCAGTAACATATAAAATGTTGAAGGGGGTTGTGTTTGTTGTTTTTCCGCTGTTTCAAGAATTTTAAAATAATTATGAATGAAAATATTAATATATTTTCTTGATTTTTCAAATATATTTTCGAAATTTTATCTGCTTTATAATAAGTGTGAATTTATTTCAATATTTCTTCTCAAAAAATAGCCACTTCGATTTAAAAAAACCCATATAAAAAAGAGCGTGCTTTCAAGTTTTACTAAGAGACAACTTAGCATTGGGACTTGTTAGATATAAAGACATAAGCCCTTATTATGGAAAAAATATGTTGTACGATACACAATATTTCTGATAGTTATTGTAGTGCTAGTATTATGGAGTTTATTTATCGGCATTGTATCGGTCAATTTATAGTATTTCAAAAAAGCTTTTTTTGTTATACATTTGTATGTAAACTAGCGTTTATCGTATTATGAAAAATTTATTTTTGGGATTTCCCGGTAGATTTTATCGGGTAATTTTTAGTGTATGATAACACGCGATAGTGATTTTACAAGAATTTTTTCACTTAATAAAATGTAAGTATTTCACTATTATTAACACTATTCACTATTATTAATTGAGAACTATAAGTTAAGATAAACTTGATTTTGTAATTTTAGAAAGAGAATTGTCAGTAATAAATCTCAACTAAATAGGATAACTGAAATAATGAAGGAGAATTTAGATATTGCAAGAAATGTTTATTCAAAAAGTTGTGCCGCAAAATTTTAAATCAAAATTTCCAATGAATTAAATAGTATAGGAGGTTTTGGTTGTAAAACACATAACTAACTATGGGTTGCCAGAGAATGGCGTATTAGTAGTATTCATGACTTCTCTTTCCTTCGATGAAAAAAAAATCTATCCTTTTAATAATATCTAATATAATTCTATCCTTTATGCATAATATTCAAACTGAAAATACATATTTACCATAATAAATAAACTAAGACCTAAATAGATAATCAAATTTAAATTGTTGTCATACAAAACCACATGATGTGAATTTCTACTTGTATTTTTGAAGAATTTTCTTTTTATTGCTTTTACAAGTTATTTTTATCTTTGTGTAAAGTAGGCAACAATTCAAAGATGCAATGAAAACTAAAAATAGTAATTATAATATAAAATTCTGGACATTGAAAATTTTACGTGTTTATGATTAATAGGAATTTTTAAAACTAACAATCATGTAGTAAATGATCAGTTAGTGTTATAAATTAGTTAATTTTAAGTAGGGATAATATTTTGAAACCTTGATTATAATCCTACCCTGTCGTATTGTTGTATTTTAACGAAGGCTAAAGCCATAAATAAATACGTAATATACAAAAGGGTTGTTACGAAGCCAATTTACTTACGAAGCCGACGGTTGTAGCATGAGTTTGGTTTATCGTGATAACAGAAGTGGTCAAGATTCAAATCATAGGCAATCATTACAGCAAGCAGCTGACGAATACGCAATGGTATCAGTAACAATCAAGGCACATCCGAAAACAGGAAATCTAAGATGGATAAATCTTGAGTAAGATGGATAAATCTTCTTGCTAGTGGAAAAACAGGGGGAGAGATCAAAGCAACTCAAGAGATTGAAAACATCATACGATGAGTTAGCAGAAGGACGCAAAACGTAGAAGAAAAATTTTTTAAAATAGATCAAATATGGCAAGAGTTCGAGTTAGGCGATTGGACGATAAGAGAAGATATCAAACCGCTTTTGAAAAAGTTCAAATTAAAATGTGAGGGATTTTTGCTTCTACAACTTCAAAAGATGGGAGATTTATAGTTAACTTTCCCGTTTTAGGGCCTCCCAACGTATTTGGGGATTCTAAAAATATTGCTTTAAGAAGATTTCTTAATTTAGAAAGAAAACACTCATCAAACAGAGAGTTCAGAAACCAGTATCATCATTCATGAGAGAATATATAAAACTTGGGCATATGTCAAAATTAAAAGATAAGAAAATTCCGCAGCTACACTATTGCTTACCGCATCATTGTGTGATTAAACAAGAAAGTGGCTCCACTAAATTAAGAGTAGTATTCGATGCGTCATGCAAAACCAGTACTAACCTTTCATTAAACGATATAATTGTGAAAGAGCCCAAGGTTTAGGATGATTTATTCGAGATTTTGATAAGATACAGAACGTATAACTGTGTGATAACCACCGATATCAAGCAGATGTATAGACAAATTGAAATATCAGTAAAAGATAGAGATCTCTAATTAATCATGTGGAGATTTAATCCACCAGAAGATATTCAGTATTATAAATTAAACACAGTTACGTATGGGACCAAAGCAGTTCCATATTTAGCAACAAGATGTTTAAAATTATTAGCTGAACCCGTAAAAGTTATGAAAGCCGTAAAGTTATGAAAGATTTTTATGTAGATGATCTGAAACATGAACGAAAAATTCACAAAGAGAAAAGTAGTGTCGGAAATATTACGGCTGTTTGATCGCCTAGGTCTCATAAATCCGGTAGTTGTTATAGCAAAAATATTAATTCAAAAATTATGGAAGCTCAATTAGATTGGGATGAAGAATTAAATGAAAGTTTAACGGAAGATTGGATTAATTACAGACAAGGTTTAGACATGTTAAGAAGAATTGAAATTTCAAGATATGTTTTTAGCAAAGAAATTCCCATTAGAACAGAATTACCGGCGTTTGGAGACGCCTGTGAATGATGATTGTGAAAAGGTTTATAGGGCAGCAATATACTTACGAAGTATCAACGTAAAAAATGAAATCGTGTGTGAGCTTTTATGTTCAGAATCTCGGGTGGTTCCATTTAAAATTCTGGCGACATCGAAGCTAGAATTATGTGCAGCACTTTTAGCAGTAAAACTAATGGATAAAGTCAAACAATCTCTTTCAATTAAGATTGACGAAGTTTATTTTTGGAGTGATTCCAAGAATGTATTAGCATGGAGAAAGGGTGACCCTGCATCATATAAAAGATATAAAGCCAACAGATTAA